AAGGGAGCTAAGAGGACAGGGACTTAGAGCTAGTGTCTAGAATGTTCTCAGATAAACTACTACTTGTTCTGAAGGGAACATACAGCTTGTACAACCTTGTTGTCTAAGAGGGTAAGTATATGTACTAACATTTCCTTAGTAACCTCTCTCTTTCAACAAGGACAGACTTATGTCCTTAGCTGTGAGCTTAGCTAAGGCTATTCCTACTTAATACTATGAACAAACTACTAAGTAGTGAACAGGGCTGAGTAGCATTCTAAACATTCTAAGATCTCAGAATGTAGAAATAGTAAGTTGGATTGTGTAGATTTAGACTCAGATAAAGTGTAAAGAGAAGAATCAAAAGAATCAGGAGAAATAGGAGAACTATCTACTTTTGTTTTTAACTTTTTTCTTTCTAATAAATAATTTTGTTAATTTATTTTTTCTACTTTTTCTACTTTTTCTACTTTATTTACTTTTAATCCTATAGTGTCTATTGAATCAAAAGTGGCTATCAAAAAATCCAAGTCATAGCCCTTCAGTACTACATTTACTGTTAGGTCTCTACAAAATCCTAGAGTATATAGTCAGAGTCTAAGAGTTCTGAGGTGACTTCCAGATTTGTAGAAAAGGCTTCTTACTACAAATCCTGCTTATTACTCATTATTACTCTAATGACCTGATAGATGTACTATTGTTTCTGTAGACAGTCCTTAATTTAGTGCCCTGACTTTCTGTAAATAAAGTATGCTCCTTACTTTTAGACTTCTCTAATGTTTATTAGAACAGATTGATTACAAATTATAAGTAGATTGATCTAAGGGCTCAGAACTGTTAGAGTCAGATGTATGTGTAAGTATTCTATACAGACTTAATACATCCAAGCTGTAGCTTAGTCAAAGGAGATGGTATGTGTCTTCCACTTAGTATAGGTGACTAGTTCTAGTATTATCCTAAGAATCTTATCAACCAGTTCTGGGTGAAGAGCTTTTTCAAGTATCTAATAAGGACATTATCAACTTGAGTATGAATCCTGCTTCAAGCAGATATTAAACTTCTGAAAGAA